ATATATATAATGTTCTGATTTTCAAGATAAAAACAGCAGCAAATAATCTTATTGCATTCACCCCTTTAATCTTGTGAAGATAAGCGGGGTCTTACTGTAATTGCTTGTAACGCAGGGGATATGTTCTTAGACGACAAAGTGCTAAATGAAACAGCATTAAATGAAGTCATTTTAACACAGAGTAAATAGGGAAAGGGGAACACGCAATCAAAAATAAACAGATTTTACTTTGTTATTTTTATAAGTTTAACATATATTATTGTTAAATAACACAAAAATTACATTTCTGTGTGCATATGTTTGTGTGTTAAGTTTGTATTTTGTAATGAAGGTCTTGGCTCTTCTGAAATTTTTGTTTTTGCGATAAAGTCATGCAGTTTCATTTGTTGCATTATTTTTTCTTTCGTTAAGCAAATGTTGATAGCAGTAGATCGCATCCAAAATGCCTCGTCTTGCTTTTGCACTCCTTTCAAAATCTAGATTATTCCTATAATTTTATCAATGCTTTTGGTTATCGTTACCAAACTTTTACTAAGGAAATCTGTAGAGAAATTCTTTGGGTTCTTCCTTTTCAGAATCACTATTATCCAGTTCTACATGAATTCCTTGTTCTGCCAGTTCTTGAAGGTTGTCATTGGTAAGGCTGTCACCAAAAACCTGCAGTAACTCCTCAATATCCTGCTCATCTACATCTAGTCCTGCTGTATCGATTAGGTTGACAATTTGGTCGACCTAATGATACAGCAATAGACACTTCTCATTGAGAATTCTTGGATATCTTCAGCCACTCTTTGATCATGCATTTATCAGTTAATTCTTGTCAAACAAAGTCAATATCGCCTACGGCATCCACGATGTTATATTTTTTTCTAAAATTACACCAAACAAACATAGGTTTAAGGAAAGTACAGTGCTACAACAAATTGCCACCTTTTGCTGATTGGTTTGTGTTTGGGAATAATTGTATTACTGTATATATGAATCAATGAAATTTGAATCAGTGTAAATTTTGAGTTTTTGTTTAGTCTTTGAGCAGACTGCATTATATTGAACCAGTGTTAATCAAGGTGGCATTAAACGAGATTTTACTGTATTACTTAAGTACAGGTATCCCTCCTACAACAGTTACACTTTAACATTGTTGTATGAGAGATATCCCCAATTTTCCAACCCTGTTTCTTGTTTCACTCTAACGTGGCTCCAGAATTCAAAAAATAGTCTGCACAAAATTTCAAATTTTTAAGTGCAAACTCTGTTATTTGATACTTTTTAATTAAAGCATATGTGTCATCTCAATTTTTCCATGGATTTCACAATATCAAACTTTTTGGTTTGTTTTTTGCCTTTTGTCAGGTTTACTTTAATAAAAACTGATAGTAAATTTTTTTCTTTCTTGTCCTAGCTTTTCTATCAACCAGATATCATTGATGTTGCTTTCAGACATTAGCATTTAAGACTGTTACTGCTTTGTTTTTACAGATTAAACATTAACTATAGGTAAGAAATAGTTTGTCATTTTTACAAATGATTAAATACAACGGTATCTCGGTACTCAGAACTGTTCCCAATTCGAACAATTCAGTACTCAAACACAAATTTCTGGAGAAAAATTGCTCAGTACTCGACCAAACAAACAAGGGCTCCCTTTTTGATTAACAACATATTTTTATTTTGTTATTCCTAAAAATTTTTTTATGATAAAAATAAGAAAAATGGTGTTGCAGATGTTTCTGACCAAGATCAACAAAAAACCTCAGATGATGATGATACTTTGTAAAAAGAAATGCCCTAGTTTAACTAAATTAACGTGTAATACAATACTTTTAATTGTAATTTTTAGTTAATTGGTGATTGATTTAATACATGTATTTCTCTTAGTAACAGAAAATAATAATATACTTGTTAACTTTTGAAACCTAACCCTATGTTTTGCACTGATTTGCATAACACAGCACTTTTTTGGAATGTAACTACAGTGTTATATGAGGGACACTTGTACTTTGTGTATATGATAAGGTAGCAGCTAATAATATAATGCAAATTTGATAAGATAATTTTAAATACAATTAGAAACAGAAAAGTGATGAAAAGATTAACATTTTAAATTTGTTGTTAAACTGCATTGAACACACTATCAATTTTATGATCAAACCTAATTTTTGCCAATATAAAGCAAGTCAGATCTACAGTAAAGTAAGCTAGCATAGGTGAAGGAGAGGAAATTATGACTTAAACCCAAACTATTCAATACATTATGAGGATTCATATTGATTTGAACTCAGATCTCTACCCATATATTGATAGGCATACCACATAGCTATATGATTAGCCATCTAAAAGTTATTAAAAAGTATCTTTATGATATCATAATTTGAAATCTATTATTTATTGTCTTATATTGAACAGCTATAATGTTTCTGCATAATCTTACCTACAAACTAATTTTTTATGAATTTTAAGAAAATATAATTATTATTATTTTAGTAATACATGATTGTATACATTTATCTTAAATCTTTATGAGAACAGATATGTTAAACAATTATTAACAATATAAAATCTTGAATATTCGAGCTGAATTTTATGAAATAGCTCTTTCATATTTATTATTTGATATACTTAATTTATATCTAACCATATTCTCTATAGGCAATTTACTTTGGCATAAAACTTCATTACACGCATCATCTACATATAAAATTATACCAAAATAAAAAATATCACATACAGTGGAACCCCGGTTAACGAACTTAATCCGTTCCGTGACTCCGTTCGTTAACCGAATTGTTCGTTAACCGAAGCAATTTTTCCCATAGAAATTAATGCAAATGCAATTAATCCGTTCTAGTCTCCGAAATTTTTGTGATTTTATTTGTAATATACAGTAATTTTCTTTGATGAAAATGTAAGAAAACCTAGTATGTATTATTACAGCAACAAACATGTAAACTTTGTTTAATAAACTAGCACTGTACATACCTTCGTTTGTTGTAGGTGGTGGCAGGAAAGTGGAGATATACGAACCTTAATGCTTAGAAGGGAAATCCCCTCCAAAAAATAACGGGTATCAATTCATTGGAAGATTCTTTGAGTCGAAGTCTCTTTCGGTAAAAAAACCCACCAGTGGCTAAGTGGTCTTCGTACCTTAAACACGGGGAGTTCGTTCGTGGGTTTGCACCTCGCTCAGACGGGCTGGCCATGTGGAGTTTTCCGGGTTTTCTCCACGTCTGTAAATCCTAAATAGGGGCCAGTTTCCCTTAAAAACATCTCCCAGAAGGCATTCTCCTAGGCAGATCGCCCAAGTGGTTCGTTGCCATAACTTAACAAACAAACAAACTCTTTCCGTAAGGAACAAGAAATTGATCTAAAGTTCATTTTGTCTTACTATTTTAATCAAAATTTTTCTGAAATGCGATAGCGCATTGTCGTTTATATTGCGTTGTCGTTTTTTATTGCCACTATGACTTTTTTCTTTCTTGGATGCCATATCGATTAAATATATAAATCACAAAACTGAAAAAAGAAGCATAGCACAAACACTCGGAAAAGCAATGCTTAACTCACGCATGCCTAACACTAACTAAAATTTGACACAAAACACCGTTACGTTCGTTATCCGAATTTTGTTCGTTATCTAAGACAAATTTTTTGCAAAATAAAAGTTCGTTAACCGATTTGGTCGTTAACCAGGACGTTCGTTAACCGGGGTTCCACTGTATATTATATTGGATAGAACAATCTCAAACTCTAAAGTATTAATTTTATTACAAATTTGATATTTGTATAATAAGAAACTTAAGATATAAAATAATAAATACACTGAATTAGTCTTACCTGAGCTATCTTATGTATTTGTTCTACCAAAGCAGCCATAACAGCTGTCACACTAACATCTATTAAATTTTGCATAAAATGAACAGCTTCTTCGTCCGTTAAATCAAGACGAAATTTATCTTGAACCTATTTAAATACAGTAAAGAATTATTTTCATTAGAAATTTCGTAGCTTTGACAAAACATATCTGAGTTTATAATTTTTTTATTTATTTTAACTCAATTTTATATAAAATTATGAAAATGTTTTTAAAAATGAACAATGTGACAAAAAAAATATTTTCTGTTCTTCAACAATCTGAAATTAATGTATGTAATTCCTCATATTACAAAATGAATTTATAATGAATTATTTTTTGCCAGTTTTGTTAAAATCAATTCAATCAAACTCTGATAAATTGTCTTTACTAATGCAAAAATAAATAGACAGATAAAAAAAACTTAATTTTTGGAACATATCTAAGATTCCAATTTACTGTTTCTCATCTGATATTATTTTCTTTTATGCTGGTTTCAATAGAAAAATTCAAATTACATATATTTATAGATCAAAAAAGTTTTTCTTGTTAGTGTACAAATAAAATCTCTTTACTTCTCTTTGTGTATAATCAAAAAAATTTCTTTTTATGAAACTAATTCCAAATTCTTGTTTTTATTCTATAACACATTGTTTTTATAACAACATTGTCAAGGTGATATCATGTAATGACATGATTGGTCAATTTGAACTGGTAATGCATGCTGCTGAGGAGAGATCGTGGAAGAACACGATTGGTTAAATTTGAGTTGGTGGTGCATGCATCTCAAGTTAGAGACACATGCACCACCAATTCAAATTTTGGCAAAAACATCACACCATGTGGCAGACCTGGAATAGAGTTATGACCAGCGAAACCACTGATTGGTTGGCTGTCAGTGACTATAAAGTTGATCTGGAAGCAGGAAATTCAAGTTTGGATCCATCTTGCTGACTGAGTCCTACTATAGCTGAAGAAAGTGTTATTGCTACTCAACTGCTTGTCAGTTGTAAGGTGTTTTCTTGACAAACAAGTTCAGAAAATACAAACTAAGTGAACTTTTCATTGTGTTATTGGCATGCCGGAATGGTTGCCAATTGTGAACAGTTGTAATTTTTAACTTTACTAACATTATATATCGAAAATAAAACCTAATTATAAAAACTGATTCTTTGTATTTGTCATCCATTCCAAATTTTCTGTATACACATAGAGTAAGCATTGGCATTGTTTCATTTTATATTTCCATTTTGGTGCATAAATAATCTTTCAATATTAACTGAAGCTTTTTAAAGAATAAAAATAACAATAGACAATTCATTATCAATATTACAGATTTTGTCATATTTTTTATTTCATGTTAATTTGTGTCTTCCATATCATAAAACTGATTTTAACTCTAAATGCTGTTTTAAATATTTATGAAAGCTTAAAAATTCAATCAGATGATGATGGTAATCCTTGTCATACATCATCATCATATTCAAAAATTGTCCTTAACAAAATTTTTAAATTATTTAATATATATTTTAATCATCATTAAATTTACTAACATTTTGATATATTTGTAGTAACATAATGTAAACAGTATACTATATATAATTTCACTTTTTAATTCACAGGAAAAATTTTATTTATTAAAAAAATCATATTTGAATAAAATTTCCTACCTTTTTAACAGTTTTGTCAGGTTCTAATGCTATATCTGGCACATTTGCATCAACCATCAATGAAAATAAATTAAGAATTAAATTAGCATGCCTGTAAAAAGAAGTTTTTAATGAATAATGTATAAAAATATATTAAGAGAGACAAATAATGCAAAATTGAATAAAAAATTTAATTATTTATATTATTTTTTTTAAGAATTTGTGTTTATTTAATACTGAAAATTTTCAATCCTTTCAATTCAATTCCATCTACATTAAATAACTATTATTTCAGAACAAAAGAACAATTTTAAATTATGTTTCAATGTCTTCAGTATTTTAAAACAAAAGCAAATCTATATTTAATAAAAATTTTTATATAAATATTTGGAGCATAACATTTATTTTGATATAGGCTCTGTTTATTGTCTAAACATATCTTTTTCATTTTTTATTAGTGTCCTTATCCTCTGTCTTGTTTGTCCCTCCTAATGTCTTGACAATTTTTGTATTGAAGCATATGCTGTCTTTTTTGTATTAACACTTCAACTAAGAATTGATTTAGTTCTTTAATTAAGAAATATTCTGCATCTCGTATATTTTGTTTTGTATCACTCTGAATTAATTTCATGCTATATATTAGTCATTATAAGCCAATATTGATAATGTAAAAAATTTTCCAGCAACTTCAACAAAAACATAGTGTTGTTTCAATTTGATTTCAGGATCCACATCTAGGTCTTCTCTGGTGAAATAATGACTGTTACCAACACATTCACTTTATCAAAAATGAAATAGGACTTGTCGTCCATAACCACATCAAGATTGTTTTATGCTTTTCACACTCCATTCTGTAACTTCCACAGAAGGATTTTCTGAATAGCAAGTTGCTTCATCATGTATTTTGGAGTAGACTTTCACTTCTTGAGACATCATTTGACATTCCTTCAGAATCCAGCAAACATGCCCTTATAAAATTTTGAACTTTCTTCCCAAATTTTGAGGTGTTTATCCACTTTTTCCACTAATTGGTTCCTCTTCCTTTCAATCATTGGCCACTTCCTTTTCTTTATGTAGGTTCCCCAGTGGCGTAGTGTGGGTGTCAGCTGCTCGGGGCGGAAGAAAATTCCCTCCCTTATTTAGGTATCTCAATTTAAAAGACTAAAATTCAGTTTCGTCACAGAATAAGCAATAAAAATTCCGTGCTAGTGCAGCAACCTGTTTAAAATAGCTCTATTTGGATATTGGAGGTGTATATGAGTACGAATGAATTGTACAAGCAAAAAAAAAAATCAACAGGTTGCGCAGGATATCCCCGGATGAAATTACTAGTTCAACCAGATGGCGAGTCGATTCCCGGACTGTCTGGATGATAGCACTATCGTAGGCATGACGCAAATATAGGATAGAATGGTTCAAATTTTTACAACATATTATTATTATTTATTGTGAAATTTTGCTGCCCCCTAAAAGGTAATTTTGCCACCCCCTAAAAAGTGCTGCCCCCACTACGCTATGCCACTGAGGTTCTCCTTGCTTTACCTTTGAAATGATGCTATATACCATGGGGGCTTTTATTGCAGAGAAATGATAAATTGTATAAGATTTCTCATTTTTGCAATTTTCAGTACAAAAAATGCCAAATACGTTTCTTCAATCAAATTCATTTAATCCTTTCATTTTTAAAATAAACCATTATTTTGGTAAACTTTTTCAATAAATGGAGTTAAGAACATTCTAGAAAAAACATATGCAGTCTTGTGTGCACATGAAATTATTTGAAATTACCAGAAAATCCTATTTAAATTTATGCAAATTTTTACGATACATGCCTAAAATTTATAATAATTTTAAAATTATTTTCATATCTGATTTGGACTTAATAAAATTCTCACACAGATATATTTCTAGAAAATTATACTTATAATAAACAGGAAATACTTATTGGACTAGAATAATGGTCTACATATTGATCAAGCCCTTAAATTTTGGAAATATTTTATAAAAAATATAAGGAATTGTATGAATCATTCTTATTCAATAAAGTTTTTTGTAATATGAATTCAAGTAGTTTATTAAAATAAACTTTAATATCATTACTAAGATATATTGGATTGTTCGGAAAGTAAGTTCGTTTTTTTTCCGTGGAAAAAAAAACAATATTTTTATAATAAATAAATATTTTATTGAATTATATATCAACCATTTTGGTCAAATACCTGTCGTCATCGTTTCTGGTAGTAGCATGATTTCACATTCATAAAAGTTTTATTGTTGCTTACAAAAAATTGATCCAAGTGATATTTGACATTGTCATTTCAAGTAAATGTCTTACAGTTAAAAAAAATTTGTATAGACCGGAACAAGTAATAATCTGAGTGTGCTTGATCTGGCGAATATGGTTGGTGTGATAGTACGTCCCATCTAAGTTATAACAGTTTCTGACNTTTTAGTTATTTCAATCTTCTACAATATAATTTGCTTTAAAAGTAGGCAGTTAAGCTGCCATTTTATAATTACAGCCACTCCTCACTTAACATCCTATCTGTTTAATGACTGCTCAGACATGAACAGCTCCCCAAAACAAGGAATTCCCTTTCTCAGTCTGAGTCTCATGAATTCCCTTTCATAATCTTAGTACTCATTCTCACAATCAATCAATATTTACTATACAAAGGGTTTGCAAATCAACATATTTTGTTTATAAACTTGTACTTTATTGTGCACTGCACAGTAGAATATGTTGGCTAAATAGCACTGGAGGAAGCAAGAAGAAGCAAAGGAAGGGCAACAGAGTTGGAAGTGCAGTAGCACTTGGAAAAGAAAGGAGGAAAGAATAGAAAAATACAAAAGAAGTTCACTGTAAAGGGGTTAGATGGTGTGTTCTTGAAAGTGAATGTAGCTATATTATTGGGTTGTTCGGAAAGTAAGTTCGTTTTTTTTCCATGGGAAAAACAATATTTTTATAATAAATAAATATTTTATTGAATTATATATCAACTATTTTGGTCAAATATCTGTCGTCATCGTTTCTGGTAGTAGCATGATTTCACATTCATAAAAATTTTATTGTTGCTTACAAAAAATTGATCCAAGTGATATTTGACATTGTCATTTCAAGTAAATGTCTTACAGTTAAAAAAAATTTGTGTAGACCGGAACAGGTAATAATCTGTGTGCGCTCAATCTGGCGAATATGGTTGGTGTGATAGCGCATTCCATCTAAGTTATAACAGTTCCTGACGAGTTATCAAACTTGTGTGAAATTTGACATTATCATGGTAAAACACTATATCTGTTTTGTTGATCAATTCTGGCCGCCTTTTCTGTTTGATGATATTACTCAATTTGTTTACTCAATGGCAGTACACTTTCGAATCAATTGTTAAATTGTCTGGTAAAAGCTTCCAAAAAAAAAATATTTCCTTAAAATCCCACCAAAGAGAGCATCTCTCTAAGAACATGTGGAACCAATATATCAAGCTTTGAAACGAAACCAATTTGTTTCAAGTAATCATAAACAGTTCAATTTGACAAATTTCATCTCTTAGTGATTTCACGTGTTGTTATTTGGCAGTTTGCTTCAATCAGTACCTTTATTTTGTTTTCATTGGCTTCAACTGGCCATCCAGAACGTGGTGCATCTTCAATATTGAAATTGCCAAAACAAAATTTTGTAGACCAGTTTTGGCACTGTCGTTCTGTCAATACATCTTCTCCATACACGTCACACACAATTTTTTTCTCGCTTAAACAACATTCTTACCTTTTCGGTAATAAAAGAGCAAAATATGCCAAAAATGCTGCTTCTGATCTTCCATATTTGATGGGACACAAAAAGTAAACAATTGCACGAAATTAAACAAAATTTTTTACAAATAAACCTTAAAATGCTAGCTGTCAAAATATATAATGATAATACAGTGTAGAATAAAAATGGAAGGAAAAATACGACTAATCCGTCTAGCGGTAAAAAAAAAATGAACTTACTTTCCGAACAACCTAATAATAATGTATTATAACATATATGAGGGAAGTCTAATATTAAAGGTAAAAGCCAAAATTACACTAACATTTATAATTAAAGAAAATATTTAATATATTCCACAAAAGTTTTTGTGGAATATTAAAAGTTTTGTTTATTTCTTGACATAATAGCTGTAAACGTTGAGACATTTATCCCAACATGACACTAGTTTGAACATCCCTTCACAGTACTATTGCTTGTCAAGTTGCTTGAAGTAGTCCAGAATGGTGTCTTCCAATTCCTCTTGATCCGCAAAGCTTCCCTGCCAAGAATTTATTTAAAGATCCAAATAAATGAAAATCCGAGGGGGCTAAATCGGGGCTATAATCCAATGGAAAATCAAACCAAACTGTGGTTGATGCAGCAGAATTGGGAGGTCCTGCAACATTCTCTGTATAGTCCAGATTTAACTTCCCTTGGATTTTCATTTATTCGGATCTTTAAAGAAATTTTTGGTGGGGAAATGCTTTGAGGGTTAGGAGGAATTGGAAGACACTATTCTGGACTACTTCAAGCAACTTAACAAGCAACAGTACTGTAAAGGGATGTTAAAACTAGTTTCACGCTGGGATAAATGTCTCAATGTTTACGATGATTATGTTGAGAAATAAACAAAAGTATGTAGTTTTTNATGACACTAGTTTGAACATCCCTTCACAGTACTATTGCTTGTCAAGTTGCTTGAAGTAGTCCAGAATGGTGTCTTCCAATTCCTCTTGATCCGCAAAGCTTCCCTGCCAAGAATTTATTTAAAGATCCAAATAAATGAAAATCCGAGGGGGCTAAATCTGGGCTATAATCCAATGGAAAATCAAACCAAACTGTGGTTGGCACAGTGGAATTGGGAGGTCCTGCAACATCCTCCGTATAGTCCAGATTTAACTTCCCTTGGATTTTCATTTATTCGGATCTTTAAAGAAATTTTTGGTGGGGAAATGCTTTCAGGGTCAGGAGGAATTGGAAGACACTATTCTGGACTATTTCAAGCAACTTGACAAGCAACAGTACTGTAAAGGGATGTTAAAACTAGTTTCACACTGGGATAAATGTCTCAATGTTTACGATGATTATGTTGAGAAATAAACAAAAGTATGTAGTTTTTGTGGAATGTATTAAATATTTACCTTAATTATAAATGTTAGTATAATTTTGGCCTGTATCTTTAATATCGGACTCCCCTTGTTTATAATGTATAATTAGTATTGCAAATATAATTGAAAAATTTTATTAATAATCAGTGGCGTACCGTAGTGGGGGCGGCAGGGGTGGCCCGACCCGGGCAGCACTTTTTAGGGAGCGGCAAAATTTCACAATAAATAATAATAATATCTTGTAAAAATTTGAAACATCCTAATCTATACTTGCATTGCGCCTATGATAGTGCTATCATCTGGACAGTCCGGGAATCGGCTCACCGGGTGAGCTAGTAGCTTTTTCATCTGAGGAATTCCTGTGAAACCTGTTGACCGTTTTTTTTTTTGCCTGTATACGATTCATTCACATTCATATACACCACTAATATCCAATAGAACTATTTTAAACAGGTTGCTGCACTACCACCAAATTTTTCATTGCTTGTTCTGTGACAAAACTGAATTTTGGTCTTTTAAATTGAAATACCTAAATAGGGGGGCGAAATTTTCCTACACCCTGGGTGGCTGACACCCACAGTATGCCACTGTTAATAATCAACAAAACAAATACAACATAAAAGATTTTAAAATTTCAATGAATACCTTCTTAAATGAAGAAATGCAGTATAACATTGTTTACGGAATTCTTGATAATGTTCAGAGTTAATTCCTCCCATTGCTTCAACCATTTCTTTACTTAGAACATCCCTTCACAGTACTATTGCTTGAAGTAGTCCAGAACGGTGTCTTCAAATTCCTCCTGATCTGCAAAGCACTTCCCTGCCAAAAATTTCTTTAAAGGTCTAAATAAATGAAAATCTGAGGGGGCTAAATCTGCACTATACTCCACATGTCAAATCAAACCATACTGTGGTTGGCACAGCAGAATTGGAAGGTCCTGCAACATCCTCTGTATAGTCCAAATTTAGCCCCCTCAAATTTCATTTCCTTGGACCTTCAAAGAAATTTTTGGTGGGGAAACACTTTGCAGATAGTCAAATTTATAAATTAATTAAATGTAAGTATAAATGGCATCTGTAACCAGAGTGCTGATGCTTGACAAATATTCTTATCCCATAAAAGTCCATTCAAGAAAGTCATCTTACGATGAGATGGCACTTCCAGGAATCACCACTTGTCGATGACCAGACAAAGTTACTCATTTGTCAGAAGATGGCAAAAACCAGATGATAATTCCTTCTTTTCTTTGACAAGCAAATAGACTTCTTAGCGAGAAAACATCAAACTTCAACTTTCCCACCTAAACTGATCTATATATGCACTGTAGTGGGCCGGTGGTCGACCAATCAGCTTCCCCGCTGTTTCATAGCTTTCTGCTGGGNCGACTTCAATATTCTAAAAGAAAAAAATATATTATAGTATTAATATATATATATTTATTTATATTTAATTTTTAAAAAAATATTAAATGTACACTAAGAGATATTATGAAAGTAGTATGATGTAATCAAAAATAATTTTGAATGTGGAAGCATTATTCTCTTAAATTCATTTTACATTTGTCAAAAGATATCTAGTGATTTCATATTTTGCATATTATTGAGTATTTAAAAACTAATTTAATCAATAGAAATTTGTTTTGTATTAAAATATAATTATGAAGACCAAACTTAAGATTGTTTATTTCAGAAATTTTATAGATATTTGTCAAATTTCAATTTTCTTTCTCTCATTATACAAAAATACTTCTCATAAAGTAAAAATTTCTTTAAATCATATAATTTTAATGTTTCCAAATAAAATTAGGATTTACATTTAAAATTTCAGTAATAAGTAAAAAAATTCAATATAATATGTAAAAATATAGTGTGACCTGATTCTTAAAAACCTTTTGTAAATCAAGATGATGTAAATAAAGATAAGCATTTCCATTATTTGTTATGGTTAAAATTTATACCTTGTAAGGAACCAAGTCCGAGCGTTATTTTTATTTTACTTTTATTATATTTTGTTTGAGGCTTATGTTTAGTTAGGACGAAGGTTTCCTCACCCATCACCTTAGAAAGTGAAAAAAAGAGAAGATAAAACCAACTCACCAACGACACAAAGAAAGCACCATAGCTAGCAATTGCACTCACGTGCACGCCCGAGCGGCAGATAGTAAGCCCGCACTGAAAAGGGGGGAAAAGACCCTACAGACTTTTAGGGACTTGTTAAACCTTAAAGGAAACATCCCGATAATTGTTCAAGAAAAGACTGTAAAAGGTTAACAAAGTATTGTCGGGAATTAAGCTACCAGATACATAAGAAAAAAGTGAATGTTACGTGTAAGTATGTAAATGAGGGGAGTGTCTCACTTAGAAACTGTGACGTCACCTCAGACTATAAATAGCGTAGCTCAAGTGAAGACGAGAGGTGAGCTCCTGAAAGGAATAAGCGTAGTCTGCTAGTAGCAGTGAACGAGGTGTCCAATAGGAAATAGTCCAAAGCGATTGCAGTTTTCGATTTGTGGATCGAGGAATAGGAAAAGTCTTGAGTTGGAAAAAAGGTTCCTAGTATAATTGAGGTGACAGTTAAGATTTGTAGTTGTAAGAATCTCTGTACCTTAAGTTAGGATTGATTTTGTCGGGCTGATTTTTATTTGGATTTTATTTGATTGAATAAATTTGTTGTTTGTTATAAATATTGTAAATAGTTATTCCTAGATCTTTATTAAATACTTTTATTGATTTTGGCTAACTTGTCTCTAATTTATTTCGGAGCACGCGAAAAGTCCAGGCCTGGCAAACTAACAAACGCGAACCCGCGTAAAGTACCCGTTAGGTACTGGCTCTTTCCGAAACGAAAATCGTTGTAGAGCGATAAGTTAAAAATAGTACTTTACAACCTCATTCTAGCATAATCCAGCCATCCTAGCAATGAATGGCTGGATTATGTCAGAATGCAATTCTAACTAACATTAAGTAAAGTGCTACAAAATATACTTAGTATATTTTGTAGCACTTTACTTATTGGTTGATTGGTAAATATATTTACTAGTGATGTAACGAATATTCGGTTACTATTCGGTATTCGGCCTATTTTTCACTATTCGGCCGAATACCGAATATTTAATCATTATTCGGCCGAATACCGAATACCTAAAAACAGGAGTAATAAATAACAAAAACACAGTAAATTAATCATTTTGGTACTGAGATTTAATGTTATCGGGTTAGTGTTGTTTGTTTATATTTATTTATAACTTATAACATGCTCAAAATAAAAAAAGAAAATAATATTAGTCACATGTATTCACAATTTATAATTACAAAGATCAGCACACGTACACGTCTATCGTTGGAGAATCCTCGCACATCTGAGGGTCTGACCCTGCCTATCCTTCTTTTTAAGCGCTCGTCTTTGCTCTTCCCTTTCTCTTTCCTCTATCGCTCTAATCCATGTATGCCTGTGCATACATCATAATACGCGCTCACGATACTTTCGATTCGTCACTTTTCCGTCGTAGAGTTCCCATTTTACAATTACGTGACTCAGCCTGGTGATAACGGAGAAAAGAGACAGATAGGACGTCGATATAAGTCACAGTTATGATTTCACAGATTCGAGACAGCTTGATAGCCCGAACGGCCCCAGGCTTTCGCCCGTGCACGCTAAGTGACTTTCATTACAAGCATTTAGCTTTCCGAAGTCTATGACAACAATTGTTTGGCATTGACGGGCGCGAATTTCGTGCCAATAAGCTGCCTCGACTTGTTCGCTTATGTTATCAACTCAATTTCATATTTATTTTCACATTTTCACTTCGCGGCCCTTCTCTGTTCTTTTTCCGTATTTACAAGTGTAGGTCATTTGATATCATCATTTATCACATAGGCCTACTTCCATGACACTCTTGTCTGTCGGCTACAACTGCCAAGAATTAACGCGATTGGCGAAGCGTAGTGACAGCAGGCCAATAGAGAGCAGGATCCTTGCCATAATGCGGTTTGCGCGCCAATTTTCGTACGTGCGTTAATCGAGCCGAATAGTTTGGCCGAATAGCCGAATATTTGGCCACGCTCCTGGCCGAATATACTATTCGTTACAACACTAATATTTACCAATCAACCAATGACTCAAAATGAAATAAAACTGAATCAAATAGAAAAAGTAAATGAAAAGATAAATGTGGTTTGAGATGTTATTAAACCATTTATCAGTATAACATCACAGTTGTATAAGCATAAAAACCTCCTTATAGGTCTACAAAAAATCAAAGTGAACACTTTTATTTTGCTATAAATCTTACATTTAATTTTGTTGCTCAATATGTTCAACTTTTGCATATCATCTCTTGGGGGACTTTGGTAATTTCTTCCTGAATGACACATTTTAACATATTTAATGTGCACACATTTAGTTTCTTTACTCTTTGTTTCAATAGCCCAAAAAGAAATAATCACAGGGAGCAGTATCTGGACTGTTTGGTCAGCATTGTGAGGGTTTGATAAATGCAATTTTACTTTGTTATAGGAATGGAATTGTAGCCTTTGTCATATTTGAAGGCACAGAGTGCTGATGAAATAGTCTCCATCCAGAAACAGTCTCTTGGTATCTGACCAGAAGAAAGAATGAAAGATCTTCTCAAGGTAGTATTTTGATGATACTTTTGCCCCAGGCTCCATAAAATTTGTCTTTGTTGTTCCCTTTTCTGAAATTCCAGCCCAAGCTATAACCTTTTGCTAATGAGAAGCTGAAGTTGATGGTGATGCTTTGGAGCAATTTTGGCTCCTGTTAATGTAGTAGACCTTCTTCTTGCCTTGAGATTTAGTGAGATAGAACAAAGCTTTATCAGTTGCAATAAACTTTTGTCATCTATTTTTCTTCAGCACATGGTAGAATGGCCAAGACCTGCAGTACCCTCTCCTGGATGGATGTATTGGTTTCTTGCCATGAAGATTTCTTGACAAGTTTAAGGCCCATTTTCTTCAGACTATAATTTGTTACTTGTTGACTAACATCAAACCTTCATCCCATTTCTGATTGTGTTGGTGGGTTCTCCATACTGGCCATAGTCTTTAATCTCTGCAATGTCGCTTTTGGTAGGATACATTTTTGACCATCACTGCTTTGCTTTGATCCTTGTCTGGATGCTCACTGCTTACCATTTTTAATGTTTGAAATCTGTCCAATGGAAATGAAGTGTCCTTTCATCCTTCAATTCTTCTGAACTTGTCTGAAGGACCACCCAAATTCTAAGTGTGTCCTAATTATCTCAACTGTTCCATCATTTATTTTCTTATTCACTATTTTGTCCTAGATAATTGATCTGGACAGATGCACTTGCTAGACTTTCTACTGTTAAATTGTCACCCACATCATTACACAAATCACTTTCATTATAGCATTAACTCTGATTTTTTGTAGACTTGTATATTGATACACAAACTGTATAAGATGCTATTTATGTGAATAAATATTTTAAATAATAATTATTTAAATTTCTTTTATTTCTCTATTGATTAAAAAAAATTGTAAATATGGAAATTAGAAAATCGTCATAAAAATAATTTTCTTAGCCAAACGTATCAGATTAGGTCCTATAAACTACACAATGAATAAATAATATATTACAACAAAGGCCTAAAAATTTCATCTTAATTTCAGAATCAATAATTTAATTTATAAATTTAAACTTAGCAATAAGATTAAAGTTTTATTAAAATGATTAATCAATTAATGATTACTATAGTAAATATTACAATGATTTATATTGATGTGACCAATATATTGAATTATTTCTTCTTTATTAATTTCATTGATATTGAAATAAAAATCAATAAATTTAATCAAAAAATAAATCTAGCATGTTTATGTGGATCAAATTCAAATATCTTATCAAAATTAAACTATTTAAACATATCAACCTGAATGACTCTCTTTTAAAGTTAATAAAATTATTATATTTTATGAGGGTCATTCTAAAAGAAAAGAATGCTTTGATATGACAAGCCATGCAGTTCCCCCACTATTCCACACTGCCGCGTTGTGGACCTTTCCATTTTTTCACACCAGTCTGATGCTAACAGCGAGTCACAATGATCGTTTACTGTTTACAGTGTGAGTTTGAAATGTGTGACAAAATTAAAGATCCCGCCAAGTGTGAGGTTCATACTGTAATACGCTTTTTGAATGCGAAAAAAGTCTGCCTTATCGAAATTTACAGACAGATAACTGAGGTTTATGGTAATATGATGAATAAAGCTTCAGTTCGAAATAAATGGTGGGGATTGTTGTCCAGAGGCATTGTGCTTCTTCAGGATAATGCAAGTCTGCATGCTGCTGTGTTGATGAAGAACTTACTTCAGCAGTTTAAGTGGGAAGTTTTTGAACATCCTCCTTATAGCCCAGACTTGGCTCCGAGCGATTACCATCTTTTCCCAAAACTGAAGGATTTTTTGGACGGGAATCACTATGGAAGTGACAATGAACTGAAAGAGGCCGTTAATGACTGGTTCAAGAACTTGGCAGTAACTGAGTATGCAGAAGGCATAGAAAAGTTGGTGATACACTATGACTATATTTGTCATAGTGTATCACCAACTTTTATAGTGAACCTTCAGCAACTGCTGAAGATTCAATATATTGAACAAATCCTAAAATATTGATAAAAATATCTTTAATTTTTAAATACTAAATAGCTAAGGTATCATATGTGTTGTAAAATAAGTTTTGTTTCATTATCTTAAATAAAAATATCTAAAGAAACAAACATACTTTTAGAATGATCTTCGTATGTTTTTGTATTGTATTTACAGAGAATCTATTATATTGTTCAGCACAATGCGTAAAGCAATGTCTCTTGCTCACAGAAGATTTATTTATTAGTGTGTGCATTTCAAATTTATGAAACTAAAGAGCCATTCATTCTAATTCTTATGGTACTGAGAGTAGAAAATGGAGTAATTAGCTAAATGTTGGCATAGTGAATTCCTTGAATATGAAATCTAGAAAAAGTATTATTCAATAATACAATTTTCATTAAATAAATTTATGCAATAATTTTCCAAATATTTCAATTCCACAGAAATTCTAATATATAAGTAAGTATTATTTAAACTGAAACTTTTTCTTTTTTGTCAGAAATGAGCATATAAACCTATTTTTTAAGCTCTAACTAAAATGTTTATTTAAACTAAATTATTTAAAGTGCTTTATCTAACAAAACTAAAACATTTTAAATATTAAAAATAGCTTTATAATTAAAAAGTTTGAGAATATTGCTTATAATATGAAAAACTTAAGGCTGAACTCTCATTATTTTTGTTTTAATATTTTCAAATAAATTAAATACAGTGTGACTGCAAATTATGAAGAGTTGTGTTCCTAAGAACAAATATATATCAATTGCAAATTAAAGCAGATTATTCCATAAATATACATCAAAATTCAGGAGAATATGTTCTGAGAACATAAATAATCAATAGCATAATTCTTTAACTTATTTTATGCAGTTAAAATAATTTTTCTTTTATGAGACAAGTCAAAGTAAATTGAGGCTGATTTTTCTTGTCATAAGTACAGCACTAACAAACTGAATACATACCACAAGTGTTAGGCATTTGGAGGAAAAAAGAAAGGCGAAATGGAACAGTATATTTTAAAAAGAGGGCAAATTGATGCAAATATGAGGATGACTGTCTCTTAAGTCACTCATTATTAATTCAGCAGTAATGACTAATAATCATTATGATAGTTTCATAACATGTTGTTTATAAAATGGTCTTATTTTTGAAATAGCACGATATAAATCTTGACTTTACTAGGCCTTGAAAAGTATTTTATAAATGATATTTTGAAATATCATAAATTATGATTATTATTATATCAAATCATTTCATAATTATATCATAAATTTTTAATTAAATGAAAATATACTATTTTTTGTACAAACTGCATGTTTAAGAATATTTTTAAAAAATTAAATAATCATACCACATGACTTAACGTAAGTATCCATTACTTCCGGTAGAATTCCATAAGGCCCATTATCTGATGGAGCATATTTTCTGAAAAAATTCTGAATACTTCCTTCTGTTCCCAAAACTTCAGCAACTGCTGAAGATTCAATATATTGAACAAATCCTAAAATATTGATAAAAATATTTTTAATTTTTAAATACTAAAAAGTTAAATATTTTATAAGATATCTATAATTTGACATTAGATTAAATTTTTGAAATTATTTTATAATTAAATACCATGTTTGCTGCTTGTAGCTAAAACTCTGTATGGGGTTAGTTTCAAATCAAGATTTTCTCTCCTTAAAAGCTAAAAAATTTAAATTAACTAATTAGTGTTACTATTATGGAAAATTCAAATCTGCTTACTGTAAATATCAATATTAAGAAACATAACCAAGATATGGACTAATTATCATAATTATAATAATTTTTGTTACACTGCAGGGACTGTTGCTATGTCCAATTATGTAAATTATATGTGAAAGAAATTTTTAAATTAAAACATGATATGTTACAACTAACTCATTATTAATGAGTTATAAGTGATATAAAACTTTGTGATATAGGTGAATAAGTGATGTAAAACTTTGATTTACCAGATTATTTATTTATTTATAGTTTTTGTTGATAGTATATGNTAAGTGATGTAAAACTTTGATTTACCAGATTATTTATTTATTTATAGTATAAAAATTACACATGTTTTTTTCTGTTAAACTATAATCAAAAATGAAGAAAAATTTTTGACTAAAAAGAAAGATCATTAAAATAAATATCAATTAATATGTAATAAAAAATTTTTAAATTAATATTAATGAAATAAAGCAATATAATGACAGCTTCTTGTACAGGTATACCTCACCTTACATTGGTAATTGGTTCCAGGAGAGGCTTTACTTGTCACTAGGCTAAACCACAAGTTACCATTCCCAGTTCTGTATTTTATTTGTTAATGCATTTTTAATAATATATGGTTAATAAGAATCTATTTTAAGCTTACAAACAAATAAATTTTAGTTTTTAATATAGTACAGAAAAAAAGTAATCTAAATTTATGAATACATGTACTGTAAGTACAGTACATACTTGTAAATGATGTATGTGTTTGCAATTTGGTGATGTTTACAGTACATCACGGACTCTTTATTTGTGAATGTGGTTTCTCTAAGACATTATAAAATAATATAATTTTTTAAGGTTAACAAATACAGTTAATAAAATTATTTTGCAATAGTAGAAAATAAACTAATTTATTTTAAGGAAATAAATGGTGATTGACCAAAAAATTTTTTTGGAAACAAGTGTGTCTTTTTATTAAAAAAAACTAATTTATGTTAAATTTACCAATATTGAGTGGCACTAACAATGACGCCAAATGATAGATATTGGAACTACCATGGAAAACGCCAATAATGGGCACTTAAAGACCGCTAAATAAGATGTCAGCACAGAAACACAGATATTTTCATGTTTCGTTTTCTAGGATTTATGATGATTATATTAACGTTTACTGTAAATGTACATATTTTAATGTGATTTTGTGTGCTTTTCTAGTGATATTACGACTTCAATATTTGTGGCAGACAGATGTAAAGTTGAATAAAATGACTTAAACTTGATTTTTATTTTTCTATATATTTTTTTGACAAACAACGTATAATTGAGAATGACATAACTTGAGGTATACCTGTATAATAAAATATTATAAATTGACTTCTTTATTAAGATAAAGCAGTTAGTTCTGAAATTTATTAAGATTTGATGAGGGCAATGTTAGCCAGCAGACTTTTAAATTTTAAGCAGACAATCAAATAGATTTTTAAGAAAATTTTTTTCAGCATGTTAAAGAATATAATATAGCCTAAAAACTGTTTTATTTCAAATGAAGTTATTCTATATGGAATAACTATTTTAAAATGTTTAGTTTTAACACTTTAAATTTACATTGTCAAAGTCCTAAAAGCTGGAATTTTTAACACAAATACGCTTGGGATTTGTCTTCATTTTTAATTTCTAATAAAATATTTAATTCAGAAGTTCATTAAAAATAGATTTTTAGTCAATTATTAATAAACTGATAAACTTTTTTATTTCTAACATTAACATACAAATTAAATATATAAATCTTATATATTAAGTTTTTTTGAAAATTAAAAAATACTTACCTTGTCCATTAAAGTTATAGTTTGCAAAATAAGTTGATCTTGTCTTAAATCATCTCCATGTTTAAATATGGCAACATATTCTGTGTTATCAACTGTTAAGAATGTGAGTCTACTAGGCATTAATGCACTTTTAAACAAAGTTGCCTTATTGGGTAGTATGCCTTTAATTTTTATTTCAGGATCCAATGGCAAAGGCAATGATTTAAAATTGGTGAAATTCATTTTATTAGCTTCTTGATCAGAAAGTAATGCTTGTAATCTTTCAATCTATTATAGAAAATAAGTTAAAATAAGTTTTCAAAAAAAAAATATTAGGGGATGTAGATACAAACAATGTACAATGTATGTTGTATCTTGCTTCTGCTACAAAATAACTAAATGCAATTGCACTAGAGTATAGGTAGTGGGTTATATTTTTGTTTTGACATCATGCACCCCGAATACTCTCTTTGCATTGAAAAAATCTATCATGGATCTTATGAAATGGCATAGTTTAAGTCTTAGAGCATTTCAAGATCAGTTTTATACTGGTCTATGACTATGGTCTATGTAATTTACACTAAGACATTATCTTTCTTAGGACCCTCAATAGGATTTACCTCCATGCAAAGAAGAGGTTGGAGGTGCATAGCCTCCAAACTAACAAATATCAATTACCTACACTCCAGTGCAACTGCAGTTAGTTATTACATAACAAATGTGAGATATAACCTGGTGCAATGTTTGTGTATACACCTGTATTATACAAACACACACACATTATATATAAATTAAAATAAAAACAACCTTAGTATAATTTATACTATCTTTATGTATTTTCAAAAAAATCCTCGTAAAATCAATACACATTATTAAACAATCATATATTGGGTCTACCGGAAAGTTCTGTCTGTTTCAGTTACAACAAGTTTCAGCAACCATGCACATATTCATTTGATGCATATTTGTCTCTCTCTTTTTATCACTGAATGTATACATACTGACCTAGCAAATGAACTAAAACAAAGATGATTCATGTTAGTATTAAGTGAGATGCGATCGTATACACATGGCTACTGATAAAGTTCATTTACGTCACTGTATTTTGTACAAATTCCAACAAGGAAGAAATGCTGCAGAAGCATGTAGAAATTTATTGAAAGTGTTTGGTGAAGGTACAGTTTCTGATAGAACATGCAAAAGATAATTTGAAAAATTTCAAATAGGTGATTTTGACCTTTCTGATAAGCCACACTCTGGGCGACCATCTTTGATCAACAATGATACTGTCAAGATCACATTAGAGCAAAATCCTTTTTGACATCATCAGAGATTGCAGAAAAGCTTGACTCAGCTCAACAAACCATTTAAAATCATATTCGGAAACTAGGATTGGTGTGGAAATATTCGAGATGGGTGCCACATGAGTTAAGTGAGAAGAATCTGAATGATCGAGTCATCATGTGAACATCTCTGCTTGCACGGAACAAAATCGAACCCTTCTTGGACTGGATGATAACTGGGGATGAAAAGTGGATTACCTATGAAAACATTGTAAGGAAAAGGGCATATTGTGAATCCAGAAAACCTGCCCCTCCACCTCTAAACCAAAGTTGAGCCTGAATAAGAGAATGTTGTGTATATGGTGGGACATTAAGCTGTTAAAACCGAACGAAAAGCTAAATTCAGAGAGGTACTGTCAGCAATTGGATAATTTAAAAACAGCACTCCAAGAAAACAGGCTGGCAATGTTCAATAGGAAGGACATCATACTGCTTCATGATAATGCCAGGCCACATACTGCTTTGGGGACTTGTCAGAAACTCGCAGAGCTAGGCTGGGAAATTCTGTCACATCTACCATACTCCCCGGACCTAGCACCCTCCGATTATCACTTGTTTCTGTCCTTATAAAATTTTTTGCAGGGCAGAAAATTCAAAAACGAAGAAGATATCAGACAAGCACTGGTTCAATTTTTCACCTCTAGGGATAAGGCATTTTTTAAAAATGGGATATACAAATTGCCATCATGCTGGCAAGAAGTCATAAATAATGATGGAAATTATATTATTCAATAAAGTTTATTCAAGGTATGAAAAATTTATTATTTTGTTTTATTCTAAAAACGAACAGAACTTTCCAGTAGATCTAAATATTTAATGCAAAATCTAACTAATTTCAATAAAACCTCAGTAATTGGTCACCAGATAAACAGTCATTCTGGATAAGTAGTCATATTTTTCCAGTCCATTAATCTTCCATAGATGCAAATATAATTTAATTTTCATTCATTTGCCATTAGATCCAACCATAATGCTAGTTAACTGTTCAAAAGTAAAGTCAAGGTCATCAAGGTTCTTTGTTCACTTTTCTCAGAAATAGGATAGTATTCTTTTTCACAAAAGCAGAGGCTTGAAGTATAAGAATTTCAGTGCTTTTTTTAAACTCTTCCTGCCCTCAGGCACTAAAAAACCTTTTAACCCTGTTCATCATGGATTCAACCTAGCCCAAAATCAAGGTGGCTAAAAGTGTGCAGTGTGTAAGGATGAGCCTAGACATATCTGGATCAAATTACTTGTAAACTCTCTGACTCAGATTCAAATCTGGATCCCAAGAAATGACTTTACCACCTTTATCATCTGGCCATTGGATTCCTATGTTTTATTGCAGGAATTCATTCTCTTTGCTGTGCATTGTTCAATTATCTCAAATGTTTTCACAGCAGTTACGTCTTTCAAACAAGTATAAATGAAATTATTCCTTAGGAAATATTAATAGTGAAGTCTAAGGCTTTGCTCACATCCCTTCTACACTGATTTCTAGAAGTTCTTATTACTAGCATTAAATAAATATGCAGATATCTGTATTTAAAAGTATCTTCTTTCTTTAAATATGCTTTTTATAGAATTTTTACTTTCCTATATACTTATAAATTATGATTAGAAAAATTTGACTACATTAATATCTTTTTACACTTGTTTTGGCTATTTTTTTGTCAATAGTATCTAGTAATAACTACATTTTAATAACTTCTGAATAAAATTTGAGTGCAGAATAGGATTTTCAACTTAAAGATGTCATACTATCAAAAACTTGTGTTATAGTCTTTGAGAAAAAAAATGAAAACTGATTTATCAGAACAAAAAATTAAACTATACAAAAACAGTTTCTGGAAAAAAAAAACAAATAAAAGTAAAATCTCCCAGACTACATTAAATAATAATCTAAAAAAATAAAACAATACAACCTTACTTAAATCATCAAAACAACAATATTTTAATAAACCAATTAACATTTTCAGCTCTTCAATGGCCATCATTAAACTGTTCTACAGGATCATCTTTAAAAACATTCAGTCCTGTAGAACAGCCCAATTATGGCCATTGAAGATGGCAGAAAACATTATCTGGTTTATTAAAATATTGTTTTCCTGATTTAAGTAAGATCATATTGTTTTTATATTTAAGGACTGATTCACTTGAGGTTATATAATCTATATGAGAAACTAGCTATCAAGACAATTGAATACAAACAAGAAAACAGGAATCTGGATAAATTATAAAAATCTAAATTAGAATAAAGAATTGTAAATTTGCTTTTTTTTATCATATAAAACACTTATATAATTTGAATATATAACTATATTTTATACATATATATAAGAAATATGTATTGTACCTTCAGCAGCAATGACAGATGGAACATTTTAACTTCAGTTAGTGGTCATTCTGCTCAAATGATCAATATTTCCTAGTCCTATGAATCATAAAATATTGACCAGTTATCAAGGTTTTTCTGTATTTGGCTACATTGACCAAACTAATACCATATAAAAACTTATTTTGTGCTTGTAAATTTGCATCTCTTAACTTAGTATGTAATTTTTCAATAACATTGATTAGTTTTTGTTTGACAGCTGCTCATTTTTATTTAGCAAAACAAATATGTATCAAAATATTTCTAAAATTAAGTGCTGCAAAACATTAAAATGGCACTAAAATTTTCTTGTCGTTACCTACCTATTTGGTTCATTTTGCAAAGTAAATTGTCAAAATCTCCTGGCAGGTAGTGAACCAGAAGTATAGTCTGGTTCACTGTCTTTTTTGATTATATTTTAATATATAATTATTTATAAATTTAAAAATATAGAATACATACTCATTTAAATTAAATAAATAATTTTATAATAATGATATTTGAAAAAATAATTTAAATAAAAATTTTTAACTTACAATTAAT